CTGTGTTTGTTTCTTTTTTATGCATGTATTATTTTTATGTATTATTTCTTCTCAGGTCCAGTTGTCCTGAGCTGGCTTTATTTATTATGACTACGGTACCGCGTTGCTGTCATCAGCAACTTAACATGTATAACGTACAAGGAGATATAGGAAAACCTCGGCAGATAGATTCCTTTTCAGTCACACGCGAAGCTGAACTTTTCACATTTACGCGTGGGGCTCGTCGCATATACATGCGTAGAATTCGAAAACGTTTTTATTTTGTTATTTTGTATTTTGCCTCCACCGCTCCCCTTCAGACTTTCCGCTCCATTACCCTCGTAGTATTAAATTTAAATCATCTTTGCATTTGGTTCCAGTTCAAGAGAGACTGAGTATTCCAATTGCTACAGAATCAAACTGCACCATAATGAACCCAACCACAAACCACAGCGATCGAGACTCATAACAGAAAAGCTGTTTAACACTTCAGTTAACGTTGCAATCAGTTGCAAAGTGTAAGTCAAAGAAAGCCACATGACGCAACTGAATTCCGCTGATAACAAAAGCCAAAAACAAAAGACAGTCTTCTTAATATTTAAATATATGCATAGCTAAAACACTTTGTGGCTAATAACATACTTCGCCGAAAAGTTTGCTGGAAGAAACAAAACATTTAGCTGTCCAAAAGATGAAGAATATTTCAGGGCTGGCGGTTCAGTTACTGTTAATTCTTGCAGCCTTCTTTTCCAGTGTAGCTGCCAAAACCGAAGCAGGTAAGATGATGCTTTGCGTCGAGCACGAAGTGGACAACTTTCGCATGGTATTTGTTGTACTTCAATCGTGTTTGTTTACAGTCACGATATTCTAGTGTTTCATGTTTTCTCCTAAAATGAAAACTACATATTTCAGTTCAAGTCGGCCTTCGACTTTTGATATCTTCGGTATGTTGTTTTTTCTTTTTTTTTTTTCATACTGATGTTGACTACACTTCATGAGCGAAGTCATGTTCATTTAGCTTTGCACTGTACTTCCAAACCGACTATTAACTTACTGGCTTGATATAGTGAACGAGTCATTTTGCAATTTATGTGCGTTGGCTCTTGGGCTGGTGTTACGTATCTTCGCTACACAGCGCTGACGAGTCCCAAGAAGCACGAAACAGCTGTCCACTGTTGCGATCCTTCTTTATCGGTTCTCGCCTCATGTTGGTGTCTCGAAACGTCTTTCACGTAGTATCCTTGTAGTATCCTTTTATTTTATTGTTTGTCTTAATATATATATATTTTTTTGGCTGATCAGATCTCTTGTAGATCTTACGTTGGCAGCGTTTATCGTATGCGGTCCCTTGCAGTTTCTGGTTTCTAACTTACTGACTGGCTGACTATCTGAGTGACTAACTGACTGACTGACTGACTGACTGACTGACTGACTGACTGACTAACTGAGTAATTGACTGACTGACTCACTGACTGACTGCCAGTAGTTCAGTGGCAGATATTAAATTTTGCTAATATTTTATAAAATTTGTGTCGGCTCCGTTCGAAGCACGAGTGTCTATGAACTCTTCCACAAGTCTGGAAGGACAAAAGTTTGTTATGTACACACCTCTGAAAGTAAATGACGTAAATATTGACCAATTTTCAGTTTTCTTCTTTCCTTCTACGAATTAATAAAAATCTGAGGAGCCTAGAAATTAGATGACGTTAGAAAGTAATACCTTGAAGTTTTGCACTGAACTGGAACTAATACTCAGCAAAATAGTACTTCCAGATTTTTCTGGGAGTCGACTGTATTATGCCAGAATTAAAATAGCACGGCCGAAAGAAACGACAAAAAAACATGATGGCATTTCTGACTTGCAGTTTGAGATCTAAATAAGACGTAAATCTGTCGAAGAAAGTAGTATAAAACAAACGCGTTTGAAGGAGAATAATTCAAACATGCGTGACAGTTCTGTTGTACATGTCTGCTAGCTTTTGGCAAGCAACCATCAAGGTAAGTTGTTACCTTGATAATCTCTTGCTTTTGGCCTATCGTCGGTACAAGCCTACTACATTAGTCTTACGTTAATTTTTTTTTAAAATATTTTTCCCTATGCTAATGTAAGCGCCTCATGAACAAGGGTAATTATGGTGTCTAATCAAAACAATCTTGATTAAACAGTTGATTAAAAGTTCGACGAAAGTTGTTGGCTCCGCTTGATTCATTGTCCCTCACATCACTCAATGCTCACCAGATCGATCTTCGGACCAGTAGTCTAGTTGGGGAACATGGGACTTCATTTTCATGAAGCGTAACATCAGGAAATGTGACAGAAAACAAAAAGGCCGAGAGAAATTAATTCTTAACCACGAGATCTAGGGGAAGGCACCGGCCATTTCGCACTGAAGGCAATTCGTTTTTGAACGATGGGCATGGACAAAAAAATATATAATGGATCGTTGCAAAAGGGTTTCAAATCGCCATCCCTCTTACTTTTATTTTGCTCTTGTAATGAATTTAATTCCAGAGAGAGTAAGTTTTTCATTTGTTCTTCCATTCTTGATTCCTTCCTTCCTCCATACGCATGCACTTACACATTCATTTCCTTTCGCAGAAGAAGACAGAGATGTGATTATCATCTTAGCCGCTGTAGCGCTTGGTGTCCTCGTCATTGCGTTGTTCCTGCTCCTCATCAGTTGTTGCTTCTTTTGGAAAATGTGAGTACAATTTCAGTTACTTAATGCTAGGAACGGGCCGAAGCTTATACTGCAGAACCTTGCATTTGATTGGCTGTCAGGCTACCGCCGAACTGTTAGACTGCGAGCTCGAACCAGGATTTCATCGACTTTTAGTATAAATCTATTGGCGTCCCATCACGAATGCCGTTGTCTTATTGGCTACGCTACTCGCTCTTTATTCTATCATAGATAGTGAGTAGCCTAGCAGTGTGCGGTTGTTAACAAAATGGTGCCCACTTCTTTGCATTTCGAAGTGTCTGTGAAGAGGATTTAGATAAAGTTTTGAACGACTAGTAGATTTATACTAAATCATTTAGGTTATTCTATGTATGATAACTGAATTTGACTGCGCCCTCGTTAACTATGACGTGATAGTTCGATATCTAATCGTTAAATAGTTCGTAAGAAGTGTAGCGTCGAGTCAACTGCCAAAGTCGATAGAAACCGACTGCGAACTGTTTAATATTAATGGTCTTTTTACCGATGTCGCGCTTTTTCCGATTTTTTCATTCAAACAAAAAATAAACCGCAACGCTCGATTTCTTATGACGAATTTAGTAAATATGCGAAGTTTCATTAGAATCCGTTGCAAACACATAAAAAGGTGGAACCCCTAGCTAACTGGCCAATATTTGGCACATACATTTAATTCATGGTAGGGCACATATATAGTGTGCTTTTATTTACTGCCGTTTGCTTGCGGTTAGCATTTATATACTGTGTTTGCCTGCGGTTAGCACTTAGTTACTGCTGTTTGCTTGCGGTGAGCATTTAAGGTGTGAAGGGGAAGGCGGCCAAATGTGTCCTAACATGAATTATATACTCATTTTTTGCAAAGAAATATATTCCGGGGGAGTGGGGCGGGGGGCGGAAGTGGGGGTGGGTCAACGCTTGCCACCTGACATACATTTCTTTGTAAGTTTGGGGTCCCGTAGGTTTATGAGTTTGCAAAGTATTCTTATGAACCTTCGTAGATTTACTAGATTTGGCATAATCAATTGAACTATGCACGTGATTTTTTTGTTTATTTGAAAATACGAAAATTGTTGATATTGCGTGACATCGCTAAAAGGTCTTTTGTTTTGTCATCATCACCCGGTAGTAGTAGATCTGCCAAATTATTCCATACCAATAAGTTTGATTTATCAACAGGTTTTGGCCATTATGTATAAAGAAGGTGCAGTGTATATCCTTAGGAACATACTATCTTATAATTTATTTTCCGTACATTGGAATAAAATCCAACTAAATAATTTCTTTATTTTCTTCGCTTTTTTTTAGGTTGAGAAGGGCAGAGAATCGGAACTATTAACAGCAAAATAACTATCAGCTCAATTGAACTTTTCTGTTTTTATATTTCGCTGCGACAAAGCTAAGCTTGTCGTTATTCCAATATCAGCTCCCTAGTATTCTGCGGTGCTTTGGTAGAATATAAACGAACGATTGCTTGTTTAGTGGAAGCAGTGTTAGCTACATACTAAGACGAGACGATTCAATGGAAGAAAAAGAAGAGAAACAATATATATATATCCTCAATCAGCTATTGAGTGCTCGCCTCATCGAGCTCCTATTAATGTCCTGTATGTTTCGAAATGAAAATTAAAAGAATGGTATTTTGTTATCTGTGACTCTGTACATACAT